AATCATGACCTACAGACTGAACTAACAGCATTAGAAAAGAAACTAAGAATTTTTGAGCTATTACAGAAACATGCGTGGAATAACAGCAAACTATCAACTAAGGTGAAGATGCAAATCTACGAGACTTGAGTGCTGTCATCCCTGTTTTATGGTTCAGAATGTGGACCGCATATGCTAAGCATATCAAGAGACTGAACAGCTTCCACATGAGATGCCTACATATGACCCTGAAAATAAAATAGGAAGACAAAATGCCAAACACTGAGGTGCTGGAGCAGACTGTATCCCCAAAAATATTTTGTAAAGTGAGATTTGAGATGGCTCTAGAAAGCGGGGTTGTTCTCTATGATGGTACCATGATGTGCAAAAATAATGCAACATCATGATCGTTCAACATCACTGCAGAAAGCTGGGAGGAGCATGCAGAACCTGTCTGACCTGGAGGGAACATCTGGCACTGGGTGCAGCACAACATGAAGCTGCTTTGATCCAGAGGATGGAAGCAAAGCAAGAGGGAAGCAAGCAGTGTGCTATAAACATGGACTCCAACTCAGACAACACATGGATCTCGGAAACTTGTAGTAAGCTGTGTTGCTCTTGAATTGGGCTTGTCAGCCACAAGTGGATTCATCAGGCATCTGACTAGACCTCTTGTGCATACACCATGATCCAGGGACTCAAAAGTTGCCTACCTTCAATTAACTAACTGGAAGAGAGACTGAGGCAGATTTTTGCAGGTGAAAACTGTCATAGTTCCATTAGCTTCACTGGGGCTGTGGAAATTTCCCCCAGCTGTGTATCTGCCCAGATGGCTCAGTTTGTGATTCCCCAAACTTACCTGCTTATGACATTTGTAGCAAACCCATTGTCAGTTTAATGGGCACCTTACTGCAGTACCTTGGTAAATGTTGCAGGATTATACCCTATGAATTTATTTAATATGTGGTAACTTCTAGAAATGTGTTGACTGTATTAAAATACCTCTACATTTTAAAGTACAATTCAGATTGTATTTTATATTCTAATTTAAATAGGTTTTCATTTAGTGTTCACACACTAGAAATTATAACTGTCACTTTTTTTTCATTTGAAAAGATCCTTATTTTGGTTACCTTACCAACATTGCTTCTCATTAGTCTTGTTTGCTGAGAAGTGTTGATTAAAATTGCCTCTTTATGTATCAGAAGGGTTCCAATTAATTTAATGTTTTATTCTTTGAAAACAGTTCCATGTTCTTAATTGGATACTACCTTCATTTAACTTAAGTCCCCTCTTAAATCCCCATTATCCTTAGTTACTTGAACAGTCTTCATTAAGATGAGAAATTCTACTGAGTTATTAGGAAGGTTCAAAATGCTGATCCAATTCTGACTACAGTGAACTGAAACTTACCTTCATTTTCTTTAGTGTATTTCACACCATGTGGATGAAGAGTGTAGGATCTGGAAGCAAAGTTTTTCAAGTGGACAATAATAGAATCTCCAACTTCTGCCTTAATAATGGGGCCAAGTAACCCCAGCCAGGAGGGTTTCTCCACTGTTTTTTTAAACGAGGTATCGGTGTATTGTACGTAGATGGCTTTCTTGTAAGCACTTCCTATTCTGTCTGGGCCCCTCTGGAGAAAGACTTTAGATTGTCTGCAGAGAAAACACACAAATGCAGCCCTGTCAGCATATGTTTTTGTAATTAACTGAGTGTCTGTCAAAAGGCTTGTTTGCTATACATGGTACAAAAGCCATAAATAACCTAAAGTCTTTAGAAATAGTGAAGCTATTACTACCCTTGTTCAATTATACTGTTCGGTCTTTTTCAGTTGGGAAGAGATGTTACTTTCTTGTATAAAAAGGATGTAAAGGATTTGTATGAGGTGGTTTGATGTTTATAGACCTACAATGTGTTGTTATATCATTGTACATCTTGAAAGTGGCACAGCACACATGGTTGTTATATGCTCTCAAATGAACTTCTGTTGCCTACAGAAAATGAGATTTGCAGGGTTGGGTCCTGAATTCAGTGGTACTGAATTAAGATGCCCTTCTATATTTCCCACTGTGTTGTTAGATAAAGCTTTTGAACCATTGGTCTCTCTCATGGCTTTCCCCTGGTGTTTTGGGTAGCTTTTATTCAATGGGAGACCCCCACAGCCTCTGCTTTGCGTCCTACAAAATCATGTAAGGTTGCAAGTCTGTACAAAAGGGACAACATTTAAATTTTCTGTCTTAACCATACTTCCTCCAATGATGCAGTTGTTTTGGATAAAATGAGACCTGGATCTAATCTTTACTGTAGGGTTACGCTCCTATTAGCTTCAAGAATTACCTTTTAATTCTGATATAAGAGCCTGCTATTATATGGTAATTATTTAGCCAATGCTGCTGTAAACAAGATAAATTTAAGTTTTTGGGTTTTTTAATCCATGTTACATATTTGTAAAACATCTCAAGAGTGCAGTCCCTTAAGCCGTGATGAGTGCGTAAGACTGTGTACATACAGATGTGATGGTTTGCTACATCACCACCAGGGCTTCTGTGAAAATGCTGAGAGGTAAAAGAGCATTCTAGCTGTCAATAGGTGTGTTAATAGGACTCCACTTATCTATCTTAGCTGCTTACATTATTGTAGCATATTAGAGCCTTGCAACTGTTTCGCGTATCTTTGTTGCACAACATGTTGTAAGATAGTGCTATTATCCCTGCTTCACAGATGAAACACAGAAATACTAAGCAGCTAGAGGTCACACAAAGTCTGGCCAAGTAGCACAGGGAATTTAAATGCTGGTCTTCCAAATTACAGGCCGGGTACTGTAACACTGTCCGTCTTTTTCCTCATTGAGCAATCCATTTTACTTTATCCAAAACTGAGAGAATGCCTGGTGACAGAAAGGGAAATACCACCTATGAGAGGAAGGTGTGACTGGCAACTGAGGTATCTTCTAACTTGAGAGATTGACCTTTGGGATAACTCTCACAAATGCACTATATTAGGGGTGCACTGATAGAGATTTTTTGGGCCAATACCAATACTGATTTTTAAGGAGGCATATCAGCCAAAAACGATCCAATTTCCAATGGACAGCCTGGCAGCTTGAAGAGCAGTGTCTAGCTGGTAAGTCTGTGGTGGGGGAAGGGGAAGGGGAAGGAAATGGGCTTGGGGGGGCAGATCAAGAAGACTGAATTTGATCAGATATTTTCCTATAAACTTCAGTATGAAAGAAGTGCATGAGAGAGTGTGGTATTTAAGTCCCTGTCTATGATGACCAAGGAAACATTTAACACGGATCCTTTTTTGAATGCTCACCAAAACAGGTCAATGATGTTAACCAACATATTTATGCCAAATCCTCTAACCTTCATTAATCCATGTAATGACTGCTCACATGCATTGTGCCATTCATTTTAGTAGCACTAATTCTGGGAGTAAGGGTTGCTTAGGAAGGAATCCATTTGCCTAATTGTGCTCTAAAGTTCAAAATTCCTCTGATTTCTTGTCCTAAGTGTAATTTAGCTTCACATCTTCTACATGATATTGTGAAGCTAGTTAATTCTGACCAGAAATGCATTTCACACAGGGCTGAACCCTGGGGAGGCATTGTTGGCTTTTGCATAGTCAGCCATAGAGCTTCTTTGGACCAATAAGGTGCTTTGTGTAATTTGGAGAGCACAAGCCTGCTGCTAAGGGTCAGTTACGGGAAGTCTGCTTTCAGGAACCTTTGCCAGCCACAAATTAAATCAGGGGAGCATGTTTTGTCTCTCCTTAGACTGCATAAATAATTAACATTTAATTGTGGAGGCTTCTGGTTGACAATTGTATTGTGTTCTTTTCCTTCTTCCCCATAGTAGATAATTGTCCTCATTTAAACACAATTTCTTTGCTGGAGGGTGCAGGCAGCAGCATGAGAGTTTAGAAGTTGAAAATTAAATGCAAGACATGATAGGGACGAATTATGTCCGAGAACTCCACTGATAGGCTAGGGATGGGTCTGGCTTTTATCATAGAGCTTGTAGGGGGAATGCAAGTTCAGTGAAGGTTTGTTGTATGTCATCTGTAAGTATCACACTCAGCACTTCTCTCTGAAGACAGACTCAGAATAGTTTTACCCTTTATTAACATTAAGAAGCTTTTGGATCACTGGTGTTATGTTACATGTATCTGAGAGAGCAAAACTGAGGTTGACTGCTATACTCACGGGCATTACATTTGAGGAAACCCTCTTAAAGTCAAGATACTTGGGGTTTTCAAATTAGAAACATCATTAAAACATTGTTAAATGTTGCCTAGAGAAAAATATTCTAAAAATCCAACCTGCAATTTAAAATAATTAAACTATCCTCTTGATTTTAATTTCTGGGTCTGGATTTTTTTTCTCTCAAATGTTCAAATTATTTAATTACTTATTTTTCCTACACAGGTTTTATTTATACCTTCCTTCTCCTGCCTCAGTCTTCCCTTCACCAGTGTCTAGCTTCCCTCTGTCTATATTTTTATTTTCCACTGTGGCTCTTCTTTCCCCACATTTGTACAAATGCTCCAATGCTTCATTCCACTTGGGATTGAAGTACTTACTACTTGCCTGATTAGTGAGAGTGACAAGTGCTTCATCGGGTGAGGGAGCGAATGTGCAAATGCCACCTTTCAAATATGAGTGAGCTGACAGGCCTATTGCTCCAGGATATCAGATTCTTTGGAATTTATCTTTGTTCATCACTTAGAAGCAGCTCAAATACTTGTGTCAGTTCATTGCTTAGTTCATAGACAGTTTAAGTCCCACATAAGAATTTGGGCTCCTAGCCAGTGCTGATACTGCTTTTTTGTTTTTGTTCTAGCCTTGTTTTCAGAGGACACTGATACTCTTTGATAATTTCTTTGAGTTAAACCTGAAGTAAAGGTAAAAACAAAGCAGACCTCAGTCAAAGCTGATAGACTGTTCCGAGGCAAAACCCATACATTTGGGAGGGTTGTGAATTTTGGGGCAAGTTTTAAAAAAGGAAGAAGTAAAAGTCTTTCTGTCCTGACAAGATGTCTTCACTTGTTAAGACAAAAGGTTGTTGTTTGTATTGCAAGCACCTGTACAGAAAACAAAAGGATGATCACTACCCTGAGGATCTTATAATTTAAGTATTTTGTAGTCTCATATGTTGGGAATCTATGCTGGACAATCCATCATAATAGTCTTAAAATACCTTTAAAATATAAGGTGGCAGCAATGTTTTTAAGCCTCAATCTCTGTAGAAAAACTAGAGAGTTAGCTGTGTTGTTCCAAAGTCAGACAGTAGGTAGGTGACACCTTGGAGACTAAATGGTTCAAAAAGATATGAGCTTTTGTAGCCAACAGCCCTCTTTTGAAAGTTAGTCTCTAAGGGTGCCTGTAGACCTGCTGGGAGGCTGCTCCAACACACTGTAATTCATAGATTCATAGGTTGTTAGGGGCTGGAAGGGACCTTGTAGATCATTGGGTCCAGTCCCCCTGTGCTAGGCAGGAAAAGACAACTGGGGTCAAGTGACCCCAGCGAGGTGACTGTCCAGCCTCCTTTTGAACATTTCCAGGGTAGGTGACTGCACCACCACTGGAGGGAGTTTATTCCACAGTCTGGGCACCCTGACTGAAGGAGTTTTTCCTGGAATTGAACCTGAAGCAGCCTTCCAGGAGTTTGTATCCATGGCTCCTGGTCTTCCACAGGGGTGCCCTGGTGAACAGCTGTTCACCGAGTTCTTGATGTACTCCCCTGATGTAGCAGTAAGCCACTATCATGTCTCGTCTCAGCCTTCTCTTCTGTAGGCTGAAGAGGCCCAAGTCCTTCAGCCTCTCCTGTATGGCTTGTCTTGCAAGTCCCTGATCATATGGGTGGCTCTTCTCTGGACCCTCTCAAGTTTCTCCCGGTCCTTGTTGAAGTGCAGCACCCAGAACTGGGCACAGTACCCCAGCTGCTGTTTCACCAGTGTGGAGTACAGTGGGAGTATCACTTCCTTAGTTATGCATGAGATACAATGGTTAATGCATGCCAGCATATTATTTGCCTTAAATTACAGTGCTTTAACTAAAGCTTATTGAATGAGCTTTAGTTCAAGTGCCTCTGCCGCCATTTTGAAGTGCGGGGATGCTGATACATGAGATGCTGCAACATTTTAATTAGAGTGGCTCTTGGAACCGCTCCAATTAAAGCACCCCCCCCAACACCACCCCAAGAGCATGTGTAAAAGTTCCCTAAGACTAGGGACAGAAGTTACGCCTAAACCAGTATAAATGATTGGAAACTGGTTCAAATCTGTAATGCGACAGAAGTTCAGTGCACATAAACTGATTTCAAAACGGCCTAAACTGGTTTAAGATAAACCTGGATAGATGTAGTATCAGATTTACCTAATTTAGGTTAAATTGGTTTATTGAACTTCTGTCCCAGATTCCCTCCACATTCAATATAACTCATAGTCCACCAGCATCCCAGGATGCTTTGCACCTCCCCTGCAACCTGCCCTCCCACCCCCATCACAGGGTGGGTGGGCTAGCCTTGGCCCAAGCTGTCTGTTCCAGCCGAGCAGGGAGGTGTGCTCTAGTGCCCCCCCAGTTTCTGGCCTGGGCCACTGCAGGCATGTGGCAGCATTTCCAGAATCAAAAGTGAATGTCTGTTCACTTGCTTGTTGATTCAATCTATGAAGTTTAGACTAACCTGCAAGATTGAATTAATTCTGCCTTGGGCTTTCTGACTATCTGCACTTAGCCAAAGGTGTCACCTTGTCCTGCCTTCTGTGAGAAAACTAGAGAAACAGTGTGTTGCTGACCTGCAGCTAATGAAATCTTATTTATTTCAGTCTGGTTAGAAGAGTGAGATCTTTACAGGCATATAAATGATACACACACAGGGCACATCTACACATGGCCGCATGGTGCCTTTTTTTACTGTGCCATAATAGATTAATAGATTCATAGATTGTTAGGGGCTGGAAGGGACCTTGCAAGATCATCAAGTCCAGCCTCCTGCACTAGGCAGGAAAGACACCTGGGGTTCAGGTGACCTCAGTGAGGTGACTTTCCAGTCTCCTCTTGAAGATTTCCAGGGTAGGTGATTACACCACCTCTGGAGGGAGTTTGTTCCACAATCTAACTGTGAAGGAGGTTTTCCTAGAATTGAGCCTGCAGCAGTCTTCCAGAGTTTGTATCTATTATTCCTGGTTTTTCCCATGGGTGCCCTGGTTCACTGATTTCTTGATGTACTCCCCTGACGTAGCAGTAAGCTGCTACCAAGTCCCCTCTCAGCCTTCTCCACTTTAGGTTGAAGAGGCCCAAGTCCCTTAGCCTCTCCTCGTACGGTCTGTCTTGCAAGTCTCTGATCATACGGGTGGCTCTTCTCTGGACCCTCTCAAGTTTTCCCACATTCTTCTTGAAGTGCGCCACCCAGAACTGGATGCAGTACTCCAGCTGCAGTCTCACTAGTGCTGAGTACAGTGGAAGAATCACTTCCCTGGTTTTACATGAGATGCATTGGTTGATGCATGCCAGAGTGTTGTTTGCCCTGCTGGTTACTGCATCGCACTGACGGCTCATGTTCATGCGATGGTCAACTATTACCCCTAGGTCTCTTTCAGCCATGGTGCAAGTCAAATTCTCACCAGCGAGCCTGTAGGTATGTTGGGGATTATTTGCCCCAGATGGAGGACTTTACACTTCTCAGTGTTGAACCTCAGTCTGTCTGGCTCCGCCTGTATCTGCAGCCTATCCGCAGGCATGACCGTGCTCCCCCATAACTTGGTGTTGTCCGTGAACTTGGCCAGTGAGCTCTTCAGCCCCACACCCAAACCATTGATAAAGATGTTGAAAAGCACTGGACCAAGGATGGACCCTTGAGGAACACCACTGGCCACTTCTCACCAGGACAATACAGATCCGTTCATGAGAACTCTCTGGGTCCTACCTTGCAGCCAGTTTCCCACCCACTGACCCATCAAGCAGTTAAGCCCACAATCTTCCAATTTTCCCATGAGGATATTGTGGGATACTAGATCAAAGGTCTCCTGGAAGTCTAGGTATATAATGTTGACTTCCTCTCCCAAGTCCAGGTGGTGAGATACCTGGTCGTAGAAGGAGATGAGATTGGTAAAACAGGACCTGCCCATGACAAAGCCACGCTGGCTGTCATTCAGAATCCTACCCTCTACAAGTGAGTCGCACATACACTCCTTGATGAGTTTTTCTAGGATTTTCCCTGGGATGGAAGTTAGGCTGATTGACCTATAGTTGCCCAGGTCCTCCCTCTTCCCCTTCTTGAAGATGGGCACAATGTTGGCCCTCTTCCAATCCTCAGGGATCTCCCCTGAGCAGCAATATTTTTTAAAAAGATTCACCAGGTGTCTCGCAATGACCTCAGCCAGCTCCTTAAGCACTCTAGTGTGAAGTTCATCCGGTCTTGCTGACTTATAAATACCTAGCTTTTCTAGTTGGTTACGCACCAGCTCAGCATCAACAGTGGGAAGGCTGTCATTCCCACCATGCCCCGTGTGAGCCTTAACTTGCATGTTTTTCCCCTTGGTCCAGTGAAAAAATGAAGTAAAGTAGGTATTCAGGAGTTCAGTTTTCTCCTGGGTGTCAACTACCAGCTGTCCTGAGGTG